AAATACAATAAAAACAAGACGTACGCCAACTTATGTTATGATGAAAGCAGATAATGTTGGGACGGTGCTCGTTTCCCGGCTATTATTAGAAAGTCTGTCTCTGACATAAATACGAAGCACATTTCGTTTGTATCACACGTAATCTCTTTTACTATAAAGATGGAAATGGGAACATGACTTTTTAAGAAAACTTTTCCAAATTTTGACAACAGATGGCCCCATACAAAATAAGTAGTAATAATAGGAGCATTTTGACCCAATTTGGGAGCTGCGATTCTGTAATTTAGTCTGTGTCAATGGGTTTAGTTTATATGTTTAAATTTGTACCTGAAGTCTGTTTAACTTGAAACTCCCAGCTTGGAAAGAGAAGCTTGACACAGAATTATCCATGGAACTCTCTGTGAGTTTGTACCTTAATTTTACTTCTTCCAGTAACATTGAAAATTGGGAAATTAAAATAAAAGCTTGAGACTTCTACTTTTCTGCCTCAGGAATACATAAGTATGCAGTGAATTATCCAGCTTTGAAACTCAGTACAACTATTAAAAAATGTTCCTGCCTCTCTTCTTTGTATCTGTTTTCAAACAGTCTAATGTTGATAAGCTCCTGATGTCTTGATAGACCAAAGTGGCAAACCTCCATGCTACCAAAAACCTGCAGGAAATGAACATCTTACATAAGCACCACAAGTCTCCACCACCGAAGTCATCTTTTCCTTTTCTGTAGTAAACATGTAAAATGTACTTCTTTGCTAGATTTTATTAAATGTAATGCATAAATTGCAACATGAAATCCTCTCAGCCATTACCACACAATCTCTCTGACTGCAGAAGTCTTTTTTTAGTTTGATTTTGGTCCCGTGACGAGAGTCGTAAGCTCATACTCCAAGACAAGACTCCTTTCTTCCGTAAATCTCCTCTTTTCATCATTACAAATAAATCTCCTCTTTTCATCATTACAAATAAATCTTTGCACATTGCCATATTAACAATTCCCCAACACTAAAGAAACAGTAAATGACAAGCGTCCAATTCCCCTGGGATATAAGTGAATTATTTTATTAAGGGAGGTACACATTGTTCTTTGGAGGCTTGCTAGAATTTCCTGTCGTTTCAGGCCGACTTGATGAGAAAATATCCTTTTGTGTTTCCAACAGCTGTGGTTCCAGACCCAACCAGCAGACTGTCAACTGTCCGTCATGGCGAGATCTCGAGAGCGACGATAGTCTACGGTTACGTTCAGCAGTCTAAAACTAGTCTAATAATAGGACGACATCTTTTTACGCAAGCTCTTAAGTACTTAACAGTGAGGTGGGATTTGAACCTGCTACCTTGCATATGACAAATGTTCACTCACGACTCTACTCCAGCTCTTTGCACACACACGTTTGTTCATACAATTTCTTTCACTCTTCTCTCATTCTATTTCTTTCTCTCATTCACAAACGTAAATTAGAACATCCATATGATCTGAGCTGAAGAACACGCTAATAAAATATATATATATAAGTTGAACATTTTGAATTGCAAGAAGAGACAAATTGTGGAGACAATATTGATTGATGATGTCTGAAGCAAGCATCTTTATCTACAGCATTCAGTCAGCAGGTGCTTTGATGTACAAAAACATTGAGTAAGCCAAACGCAAGAAACACGATGATGAATTACACTGACTACCTCAATGGGTGACCACATGGGCGACAGCATATCAAGCATTAGAAATATACAAAAATAATATGTAGATGTAAGTTATATATATATACATATAATATAAAATTTCCTTACACAGAAAATAAACGAGAAAACACATAGCTCAAATTGTGCTTATTTGCTGACTGTACACAGTTCAAATTGTGCTTATTTGCTGACAGAGACAGCGTAGAAACACCACCAGAGGTGTCCTTCCAGCTTAATGGTTTGTGTTTTTTTCAAATTTATTTTTCTTTCGGTTGAATTATCTTTAAAATCAGAGGAGTAAAATGTTTTTTGCACGCCCTGAAATTCATCGTAAGTTCTATAGTCACAATAGTAAAAGGTACAATTTTAATATTGAAACAACCTATCAAAGAGAGGAGTAGGAAAAAAAACGACAGTGGAAGTCAAAGAGACACACCCCCGTAATCAATAGGTTGAGCAATTTCATACTTGTAGCAGATGAAAAATATGGCAAATAGCCTCCACAGTATAGGAACAAGCTTGACCACTAGAAAAGCTTCCATGAAAAGAAGAAAAAAACCGACTCTGCTCCCTGAAGGCTGAAGGTGCGTGTAGATTCTGAAATAACTGTTATATATTGTCTAACTGACTGAGCGTTAACTTCTTTAGAAAACAAAAAAATACATGTTCATTTAGAATTAATGAGGTTTTCGAAGACTAGCTTCCAAATGCTCCTTCATAAGAATCTTTTTCTTTTACTGTAGAGAAAGAAAGTGCATTACCGGTAAGGCAAGAAATGTTTTTGAATGCACACGTACATCTTCCCCTGTCCATACATCGCACCTGTAAACCCGATGAAAGAGGAAAACTGGAGAGATGAACGACAAAGCACTTGGAAGCTTCGTTAGGCACATACTTATAGACTGCAGCACCGAATCATGAGGAGATGGTTCCAATGAAGTGAGGAAATAGTTCAGTTTCCATACAGCAAAATATGAACATGCTTGTTGGGGTAGGTAGGTGAGTACGGCATTGATGTTACATAACACTTTGCGGTCACTTGGCGCAATAATGCGACGGTTAATATAGTTTGTTCTGGTCACATGGCGAAATAATGCGCCGGTGGAAATTATCCGTTCTGGTCACCTGGCCCGTTTCTGTGTGCCAGGCCTCAGAAGCCCGTTGCAGTCACTCTCCTGGCTGAGTGACCAGATGGGGTATTTTGTACTGCTGGCTGGCCGTGTGACTGCAAAGTGACACAGAACATCAAAGTGTGGGAGCCGTGAGTGATACAAACTTTGTCGAGTAGCCTACTGTAGAACTCTCCACCTTTGAAATTACTCTTTCGTCTCATAGAACACTGATTTGCACAAAACTAAAACAAAATTAGATGACTGGGTGCTTGACCTCTACAAACCACCAGAGTGACCCTAAACTACATATGTGAGGCATCACGGTGAAACCAGGCGCTCGTCAAATTAATGAAATTGAAGATACCGGCATTTTCCCGATGGTTTGGCAATTTTTATCAAATTTTTGTTTTTTAGCTCAACATTTTTTATGTCAATACCAAAACACATTTCTATGTGAATTTGACGGGAAAACGTTAATTAAAGGCACAAAATATATAATTTTTCAGTTTTGAAGGACTCACAAGCTATTAAAGTTACCGAAATTCAGCGGCTATTTTCTCGCTAATTTTATCACTGAAACCAGGCGACGCTACTTCCTTCAATCTCAAATATTTCGACTTCTATTCAATATGGATGGGTATTTTTTTTTTTACCAAAACGAAGGTAAATGAACAAGTTTTAAAATTGCACCAAAAACTCCACATGCCCAAAAATTGACGAGCGCCTGATTTCACCACACTGCCTCACAAATATCTTGCGAAAACAGTTTTTGCATTTTCCCAATTAGGCCTATACGTTGCTTCCGATTTCTTTCTTCTTTTTGACATTGAAGATTTTTTCACAACACATCCATCTAAATGCTCTGTAACTTGATCATCAGCTGCCATTTGATGTGCCATTATGAGTCTATATAGTAAAAAAAAAAAAACCCAACAAATTTCTTTAAAGACATTGCGCAGTTCTTTTCCACTGATACGAAAATCAATAGCCCCATTTGAATTTTAAAATTAGTGTTGTTAGCTGCAAGGTACTAGCACTTTTACAATATTCATGTGAGTACAAATTGTACAGAGGAATGGCTTAACATATGCAATCAACAGCATAAGCACTTAGACGTGTAGCCACCTATAGTTATAGAAAAACACTGTAATTTTTTGTTGAACATAAGAATTATCTCTGTCTAGAGTGAAACAGAAGATGAAACCAATTTTTCAAAGGTGTACTGTTTGAGGACATTTTTATTATGACATACCTCACGGCAAGAAAACTTAGTTTTTGCATTTTTGGTTATCAGATGTTTGAACTTTCCCAGGCTAGACGATCACATGGAAGTCTCGAGTACACTGGAGTCGGAGAAGAAGTGGAACTGCGACCTCTTGACCTTGAAGAGTGCCCGGGCTGCGCATAGAGTAGGTACTAACACTAACAGTGTACAAATGTCTTGTAAAAGAGGGATGGCAGAGGTGGGGGGGGGGGGAGATTCTGATAGATAAACTGTACGTAAGGCAAAGATAGCTCAGCGTGATGAGTTGTGAGAATCGGAAGAAAAAGCTGAGGCAGCAAACAGAACGTCATGGCTTCAGCTGTCGGCAGCTTCCCATGGCCGTATAGCTGCCCTATTACAACTTTGTATACTTCGAGAATGGCAGAAGTTACTTGCAATATCACAACTGGCATATCTGTAGATGGCTAGTCAAGTAGAGGGTCCATAAGGACTAGATGGAAATATGTTCGTTTTTAAGCACAAGGGGGCTACCACGAGAAATGCTGTTTTGAGAAAATTGAAAGCAAAGTTTTTGGACCCTTGTTCAGTTTCTTTACAAGACAAGGAGAGTTTTCTCCATAGCCAAACAAATATACACACCAATGAAACCAAACTTCTCCTTTAGGTAGGGCAATGCCCACTTTTGGTGTAGGTCAAGATTTCTGAAAAACCCCAAAATCTGGGTTAGCCCACTTGTCCTTAAAAGCGACCACATATGCATGAATGAGTATTTTACAATATATAATTTTCTTCCTCTATAATGCATGTTACATTCTTTTTAAACAAGATATCTTGAAAGTGTACTAAAACATTTAAAGACGTTAAATATTAAGTTTGCAACGGACATTTAAATTCGAAGTTTGAAGAGCTCAAAGTTAGCCGTAGTGTTTCCTCATTCCGGGCAGAAAAGAGATTAGGCTGAAAACCAAATACAGCACACAGTGATGTGTATGGCAAAGTTGTAATTTGTTTCAAATCTTGACTATAATTGGTTGTACGGCCACTGTATTTGTTTGGTAAGTCACTGAATTCTTCTCACTTTGGTGAAATTTTCTCGTGTTTGATCTTTTTCTATCCGAAACACTACGACAAATGTTATATAAAAAAAAATAAAACATTTACAATTTCAACTTTCATGTATGGTAACTTCTGATCTCGACATATATAATAGTCTATAATTCCAAATATTCATTATAATGTAATTGAACATCGTAGCTCTTAGAAAGAATTGAATTGTACAACACTTACAGAAATATTTATGGACCGCTGGATGCATGAAGAATGCACGGACAATGGCATCATTTGAATATGAAATGACAGACAAGCATAAGTTTGTTTAACACATAGATGGTAATGGGTGCATGAAGCCGAGTAAGACAGTATGATGCTTGGGTATATTGAAGCAGTTTACAACAAGTATTGCATGATAGCATTTGCCACTTAAAACAATGAAGTTTAAGAAAAAATCCCGACAAGTCAAATGTTAAAGGATGAAAATTTTCACTGTCATGAGATTCCTCTTCCAATCTGCACCATCTCTTTAAAAAACACATAACGTTCTACTATGAACTCTTGTTTTTTTTATGCACATTCAAATTGCACAGAGATTCTTATTAATGAAAACAGACACAGCGGCCAAAAGAGAAATGGATGAATCAGAGCAGAAGTATGAGAGTCAAAACACAGAGTGGCTGCCTATTATCTTCACTGGCTTGCATTCATAAAGAAGGGAAAACAAAAAACCTAATGAGAAAACCTTACTGCACAAATAGCCAGTAATGTCCATCCCTTGATACAAAATATTCTTTTCTTATAACAAAAGAGAGGTGTTACTTAAGCATTTCATAACCAATGGGTCACTGAGAACAGTCCCCTCATTTTTTCCTCTTACGATTATGAACCATCTCCGCGACAGTGCACCTGACCCACATCTTACAGTTACACCTACCTCGACACCTTGTGGTATAACAGGACTGAAAAAGTACATCTGTGAGGCGTGCTGACTAAATGAGTTACGTCTCGCAATCCAAGAATGGAGATATGGTCCAAAAATCGACACAGGGGTCAGATTTATAGATTTTCAATTGATGCCATTTTACTGAGTCTTTCATTCTTCCATACTTACAAATTGTACAAACTTCACCCATAAAGTTGATGAATCAATTTCCATAACAACCTAAATCTGAGAAGTAACTAATTTTGTCAGCACACCTCACTGCATCTTTCTCTCTGTCTGTATTTCTATATCTGATCTAAATGCTACTAGGCTGCTCCCAAGTGAAGTCATTATTGGTGCTTACTTTGAAATCTGGCTTAAACAGCTTCTAATCTTGATGCTGTTTTGAAGATTTTACGAGATTAGTAACATTAGTAAGACTGAAAGCAGTGACAAAATAAAGTCCTTGAAGTAAGACAGGATATTGGGGACACTTTGCTTACTGAGAAATTCTCAAAGATCATACATTCAAAGAATTGTCAAGATGTTAAAAAGGTAAAGAGAATTAAAAGCCAGTAGAAAATATACATGATTCTATGATTTGAATAATTTGAATAAGAAAACTGATACATAAGTATGGCTACCTTAAAAAAACCAACCCCCCATCCCTTATGAAATGTGAGAAAACCGTGATGTGGCGCCTACTATAGAAACAACGGATGTTTGTCGCAGGATACAGATCTTCAGAAAAACAATATCATGAACAAAATTCTGCCAAGTTCCGGGTTTCACATAAATTCATGTTTGTCCATCAAGGAGTGCTGATCCTCTGATAAGACCACAATGTCTTGAAATATCCGCCTCTACAGGGCAGATCAGCGAGGAAAGATCAGAGAGTGTTGGAGTAGGGGGAAGCCACGCCAGAAAAAGAGTAACCCCCCCCCCCTTGAAGCTCTTGAGGTCAGGCCATGCCCAGATCATGATCCAATGGAGCTCTCCATGTATTTCAAAACTTTTGCTTCTCCGTCTTTCTGGAATATGAACCCTTTTCATTTGTACTTTTTTTTTCTTAAAAAGAAATAGTAAGTAGGCCTATACAATTCCTAGTTATACAAGTTGACAACTGCACATACTGTAGACATGTGTACCGTTGTTTCATGAATTGAATTCAACAGGTTACACATGGAAAAGATAGAAAGGAAGCTATTTATCTACGCTTGGGTTGCATTACTTTCTCTAAAATCCGAACTTGTAGAAAAGTGACACAAAAGTAACAGTTGATCATTTGATCTTTTTCTCCACCCAAGATCCTGCCACCGAGGGCCCAAGCAAAAAGACGCAAACAAAGCAGTTGACGATGAGATGTAGGTCGTGCTCCGACGCCGGTCACATGATGTCTGATGGCAAAACCGAGCAGCTACACCCTCGGATGTTGACGAGAGAAGACTACATGTTTGTGTCCAGCACGGAATGCTTTGAGTTGCGCACTTCCTCTGCTCCGTAGGCGTTCAGTGTTGCAAACCGGTTGTCCCGAAGGTGAGCGATGTTAGATGAAATACAGATGATGAAACACACCTGGAACAAAGACATTGAATGTGCTCTACATATCTGAAGATGAATAAATGAAAGAATGGATAAATGGATGAATGAATGAATGAAAGAATGAATGAATGAAAGAATGTACGAAAGAACAAATGAACAAACAAACAAACAAATGAACAAATGAATGAATGGATGAATGAAAGAATGAATGAATAAATGAATAAAACAAATTAAAAAAAGGTAGGAGCAAATACGGAAAGGACACAAAATTATCATACATCAGCACTTTCACTTGGGGTCCGAAAACAGGAAATTACCCAAAACTGTACAATATATGATCGCCTTTAACACTTCGATTTTCTCAAAACAGCATTTTTCGGGATAGCCCCCTTGCGCTTAAAAGCGGCCATATTTGGTTGATTTACATACATGTAAAAGGAACAAAATCCCCCAAAGTGACTACGCCCGGCGTAGACATCAACTTACCAGACTGTTGACAATGACGATTGCTGCGAAAAACGCCACTGCGTAGCTGATGAGTAAGTTTTCCGTCTGAAAATGTTTTAAAAAAAGCAGAAGATGGAATAAAAATATGTAAATAAGCACAATCAACTCTAAGTAAGGCTCAAACTAAAGTGGACATGTAGTCACACTTATTCAAACATTGTGTTTACTGAATTCTTAAAAATTCACTATTCTGACAGAACAAAATTAACGATAAAATTTTAATGCAGTTTCCAGGCCCTTTTCCTGTCTGCCCCAGAGAGGTTCATCAATTTTATGAGATCAGAAACTTTTAGATTGCAAGTCTTCTTGAGGAGGACAAACAAAACATAGTGCAATTCACACCAAGGCAAGGAAGCGTGATGAAATAAAAGTAGGAATTAAGACATGATTTTAAAAATGTCAATACATTTGAAAACCAATAGCTCTTGCAATTTTGGGTGTAAGAAGAAAACAGAAACAGAGGAGGACATGAACTCAACATCAGCAGTGCCAAAAGTCTCACAAAGGCAGAAGGTGATTTTTATCCTTGTTCTACAATTATAGGCCTACAGCATTGTCCAAAAACTACAATACACGTCAAGAACGAGAAATTTCTGACTTAGTTTTGACTTTTAACCTAAACTTTGGCGGCCCGGCATACTTTCATACATGAAAATCCTCCCCCAAAAAGCCATTAGCTTTGCTATTTCTCACCTTTTCCTTGAACTCCGTCAGTTCATTTCCTGTGTATTTACCAGAGAATCCTGCACGTGGTAGAAAAGAACATAAATTATTAATATATACTAAAATGTTCAGGTGGTAAAAAAGAACATAAATGATTAATATATACTAAAATGTTCAGGTGGTAAAAAAGAACATAAATGATTAATATATACTAAAATGTTCAGGTGGTAAAAAAGAACATAAATTATTAATATGCTAAAATGTTCAGGTGGTAAAAAAGAACATAACTAATTATCAATTTTAAAAAATACTAAAATATTCAGGTGGTAAAAAAGAACATAATTATCAATATACTAAAGTGTTCAGGTGGTAAAAAAGAACATAATTATCAATATACTAAAGTGTTCAGGGATAAATATTATATGCATTGGCCTTCATCAAAACAGACTTTACAAAGAGGTCCGAAAATTTCACTTTGGACAAGGAATGAAGCCTACTACATAGAGGGGGGCTACAGCTGAAGGTATCTGGCTTATTGGCTCATCAAATGTCACCAAAATTCACACATATAACAAGCATAGTAAGGAGTCTTAAAATCCGCAATCAAATTTGAGAAAAAAAGTTTCGTTTCCATGGATACGGCGGCAATATTGGATTTTGTTGACACATCTTACGTAATTAATACCACACTTATTTTTCATGGAAATGAATTGTTTGGTTTTTTTGCATGCATCTTGGTAAACCATAGATCTACAAATCTGGGTGATGAATTTTTCCTAAACGTCCTAGAACATTTTTAATGAATTTTTTCCTGAGGTAGTGTTCATGTTTGCAAAAAATCGGTGACAATCCACATTCCAAACACCACCAACGAAAAGCTATTCCATAAAATATCAAAATTTCATCATTCAAAATCACAGAAGTACATTATATCTCATTTTTGTTTTTGTAAAGTGTTTTACGGCGCTCGCAACTGCATAAGGTCATATGAGCGCACGGGACACACCTAATACTTTTTCGTTGGTAGGAAATTTTGAATTTTGCCCGGGTGGCGGCCGAAGCCT